TGCATTCTCATCACATCCATCGAGTTCAAAAATCCAGTTAGAGCCCTGTTTCAGGTTGCGCTCAGCGTGTGACCTACCCTGCGGGGAGAGAAGCGACGTCCTCCCGTCCCTGGGGAGCGGCCAGTCCCCTCGCCCACCGGGGCGACTGTCAGTGTCCTTCGCCTGGGTTCGCACCTCTGCCACTGCGACCAGCACCTGGCAGTGCGTCCCTTGGTCATTTTCGTGGCTGTGACCTGGGGTCCTCCTATCGGTTACGATTCTGTGCTGCTTGTTAGTGGAGAGGGCGGCCGTTAGGTTTGTGCTTTCGGTTTTTGTTGGGTTTTGTATCCGTGGCCCCACCAAGGGGGTCTGTCTGTAGCCTCTGTTGGTTTTCACATACTGTGCATTATATGATTTACAAGCAAATACAGTTTTCTATTTAAAAAGAAATGCGGATGGGCTTCCACTGCCCCTCCTCCCCAAAATGTGTCTCTTAGCAACCTGACTCAGAGCCCAGGATTTCTGTTACGGGAGGAAGCGTGCCTGGCGGAACAGTAATTCGGCCTTTGGTGGAGTCACCTGTATAGACCCTACGCAGGTGACTAGAACAGCATCACTATCAGCGGACTAGCCCTTACGGTTTTGAACAAAGAACTGAGCAATCAACCTTTCTTTCCTCGTCGTCTCGGAAATTAGATTATCGGCGTTGTTCTTTGGAGTGAATCCTCTCCTATCTTAAGCCTCCACGTGTTCACGTGGTCCCCTGTGCGGCAGTGACATCCGCCCTGAATATTTTATTACCTCACTCTCAGCAGTGACTGTTACAGGTGTAGAAAGGCTGCATGATACTGCAGAATTGTGAGAATTTTCCATAATGTTGCTTCTTGGGCCACTTTGGTCTGCATCTAATTCCATAAATTTAGCGATTTGGTGGGCCGATTTTAAATGCTGAAAGTGGGAACGTCAAGAAAGCTGTAAAAGCAGATGCTTCCGAGCGTTATGGAGTCAGCCCGAGCCGCCACAGAGGTGCGCCTGCGTGTGTGGTGGCCCTTCGTGCCCAGCGCTTTCCCCTCCCCTGTGCCCCGGGCAAAGAGGATTCACCCTCTTTCAGAAGATGAGGAAGCCGAGGCTCGGGCAGAATTTTCAGTCGAGCGCCCTGCTCCTGGGGAGGAGGAGGCCCGGGGAGGCTGCCCCGAGGCCTGCTGACCCTGGGGCCCGGCTCTAGCTGCGTTCGAGCCCCGGAGCCCTCGCGCCAGGGTGTCGGGACTGAGCGGGGTGGCGGGCCCTGTGACCACGTCGGGCCTCCGGCTTCCGGACCATGCGGGGCACGGGCTTCCTTTGGCGTCCACAGCCCGGTGTTGACAGAGGTCGCCTGCAGTGTTTCTCTGAGACTGAACTGCGGGCACCTGGATGGCGCGCTTCCTGCACGCACGGCTGTCGGTGCTGCGGCCCTAAGCACACCTGACCCTCGCGCCTCTGTGTGCCGGACGTGTGACCGGGGTAGAGACCCAAGAAGAGCTCGAGGCGGCCTCCTATGTGCCTTCTCCTCTTCTAGCCCTTCCTGGACTCGAACATTTAATTCACGCAACATACCATGGTCAGAAAGACAGGTAGAAATTACGGCACAAGATTTGTTCACACACCTGAAACCTGTATAATTTTGTTAACCAGTGTCACCCCAGTGAATTTAATAAAAAGGAAAGAAATACTTGTTTGTTGCCTAAAATATATGACTTCTATCCAATAGGGTTGGCTAATAATGAAACGTCCTGGATTGAGGGCGGTCATCCTTCAAGGGCACTGGAAAGGGGACTTCTGCATTAAAAGCCACTTGGTCCGCGTCCCCTGCCGCCTCCTGGCCCAGCTCTAGGACTTGGCGAAGGTGCAGGTGCTGGGGAAGGGCTGCGGCTGACTGAGCGCGGTGTGTGGGGCTGCACCGGGACACGAGGACCGTTGCCATGGCTTCGCGGGTGGGAGGGCCCCGCCGGTCCCATGGAGTTAGCCCTCCGCTGTGTCAGTCGGAGCGCTGGCCAAGGACAGACCGGCGGCGCAGGGACTGCCTCAGGCCTGTGGAGGCGGCTGTGTGGGGCGAGCCCCAAGGGGCAGGGGCGGGCAGCCGGCCACGTGGGCTTCCTCCTTCCTCAGGGACCATAGCGTCACTCCTCAGGCTTTCAACAGGCTGGGGGAGGCTCACCCGCGTTCTCGGGGGTGCTCTCCTTTCCTTCAAGCCGCCCAACGGTGGAGGTTAATGCCTAACAGCCTTCACGGGGCTTCCCGACCGCTTGGCCGGGCCCCTGAGACTGGCCCGTGATGCTGGGCTGCGTTTGACGTCTCCAGCCGTTGCCTGGGAGCACGGCCTGGGAAGCCCGCCCTGCTCCTCCTCCGTCATCTCTGGTTAGAGCTGCCCCACCGACGTGAGCACTTCGCCTCAGGCTCGGGGCCGCCTCGGCTCCCCTCCCTGGGCAGCCTGGCGGGCGAGGGGCCTGCAGCGGGCGAGGCGGGCGGCGAGGGCGGGCCCAGCCCAGCAGGGGAGGGCGGCCACCGCGTGTGCGGCGCACTGGCTGGGCTGAGCCGTGTGGCGGGTCCTCCCTGTGGGGCACCTGTGCTCCGGAGACCCATCCGGGGGGCGGCCGCCCGCCCTCTGCTGCAGGCCTCTCGTCCCACCGGCTGAGCCGGCTGCCTGTCGGCAGGTCGTGGGCGCCCCCACCGCGCCTTCCCACCACCTGTGTGTTCCCCTCCGGGTGCAGTGCCCCCCAAGTTACGGGGGCACGCCTCCTTCTGAAGGCTCCAGGAGAGGCAGGCGGTGGGCGTTCACACACACCTCCGCCAGCAGGGACACCGGGCCCATGGCCACCGTCACCTGTGCCCCCCTCCACCTCTTGAAGGTGCCCCCAGTCTCTGAGTGACTCCAATCATTTGCGAGGATAGAGGACCCCAGATCACAGATGCCAACCCCCCCCCTCCCCGTGAAGGCTGCAGCCCATGACTCTTCTCTCTGTGCTTCTGCAGCCCTGCTGGGCAGAGGGCTCTGCCCTGGTGACCGTGGCATCTGCGCAGGGTGTGGCCTGTCCCTTGTGGGGAGGGGCTGGCTGCGGCCCCTTGTTGTCTTGTGCAGCTTTGGGGTCTGGGTGCCAGGAGGACGTGCCGTCTACGTGGCAACACCTGTCGCAGCCACTGTTCGTCAATCCGCTGTTGTCTGGGACGGCCTTCCCGAACCACAGCCTGTGCACAGGTTCCAGGCTTTTTCTCTCTATCACACTTTCCGAGCGTTACTCATACTTTTACTACAGGTTTTTCTAACTGTTTCTGGGTTTCCAACCTTTCTTTTCATTGCTTCCATTCCTGCCCCCCATTGTAGTTACTCCACATCCGCCCGTTCTCTGGATGATGCAGAGCAAGCTTGAGGCTGAGCTGTTGCAGCTGGTGACTTAAAGGGGATGTTTTTCTTCGTGAAAAACGTTAAGGTCTGGAGCTCGGTGTCAAAAACAGCGAAGACAGGCCGAAGCTCCGCACGTCCTGAAAACTCCTCCACAGACACAGTCTCATTGTTGTTATGGAGTCGGGCTTGTCCTTTAGGTCAGGTGTTTGGAGTTTGTGCTGTAGGGAGTGATGGGACGGGGCTTTTTCTGATCCCCTGTGAGAGCCCAGCTCTGTACCTGGCAGATGGTAGGTGCAGACTCGGGAAGGTAGCTGATCATATTTATACAAAAAGAAGTTAACTGTACGGAAAAAGTGAACTCTTTTTGTTTTTATCGCGCATCTGTCGATTACGTTGTGCTTTATTTAGAAAGCTAGCTTTTCGTATTACCCATATGGATATTAAAATGCACCTGTGCTTGCCCTGGCCCGCGTGGCTTGGTTGGAGCATCATCCCATAGACCTGAAGGTCGCAGGCCCAATCCCTGGTCAGGGCATATGCTAAAATTACGCGTCCAGGCCCTGGTCAGAGCGTGTACTAGAGGCAACTGGTGGATGTTTCTCTCCCACATCATTGCTTCCCTCCCTCCCTTCTCTCTCTAAAATCAGTCAGTCCGTCCTCAGGTGAGGATAAATTAAAAATTACCTGTTCTCCAAAGAACCCTAGACTTAATGTAGAAAACACCTGTTGTGAAACACATTGGTTTTCATGAAGTTGAAAACAAATGAAGCCTGGGATGGGGGACCGGTGAAGGGCGGTGCAAAGGCGGGGATCGGGGGAAGGGGCTGGGGACCCCGGGACGGAGTCATCCGAGCTCCAGGGCAACGTCTTCTCCCGGGGCCATGTCTCTGTGAGTCTGGACACACTGCAAGGGCTTGTGACTGTCGGGCCCCTGAGCACGCCGCCGTGTCCTGTGACGGCTCTTCCTGCCGACATGCAGCCTGTCTCTAGGAATGATCCTCTAGCCGTGTACTCAGACGTCCCCCTTCCTGACCGTTGCAGCCAACTTCGGCAGCAAAGTCTCACTGGGCGTCCCAGCACAGGGTGGCATTTGCCATCCATCACCATTTTCAGTTCTTAATCTCTGCTCTTTCCTTCATCATCTTGCTCTTTTCTCACCAGGCGTGGACGTTGTTCTTGCTTTTGCACTTACTGGGTATAATGAAGGCCTTAGACGTCGCCACTGCCTGTTGGCATTGGTAGGCGCCGCTTGTGAAAATTGGCAGCTCGGAGTCAAGGGGGGACCTTAGTGGTCGCCCGTCCGCAGCCGTGTTTCCTGCTGCAGTTTTATTAGGGCCCACACGGCTTCCAATTTCTTTTTTAGAGACAGAGGGGAGGGGAGGGAGAGAGACATCAATGTGCGAGAGAAGCAGGGACCAAACCCACAAACCAGGCATGTGCCTTGACCGAGATGCAAACTGACGACCCTTCGCTCTGCAGGACGACGCCCAAGGAACTGTGCCACGGCCCAGGGCTGCTGTGGGGTTTTGACGTAGAGAACCGCTGGGATCGGCCCTCCTGAGAATCACTTAGGGTTTTTAAAAATGTTCTTTGTAAATATTTTTAATGTCCTGGTTATAATTATAGACTATGTGGATTTTAGTTTGCAGTTAACATGTTTCGAACATTACCACCTTCCTCCAATCCCACGGGAGCAGAATTTGACCCAGAGGAAGACGAACCGACGTTAGAAGCAGCCTGGCCTCACCTACAGGTACTGAACTCGGGATTGTGCCAGAGACAGGCCTCAGTTAAACATGCGTGTCATGGGGCCCCCCCAACACAGCGCGCTGGCCCCGGGGCCTCACTCCAGCCAGTGGCAGCTGGGCCTCTGGTTGGCGGAGGTGTAGGCCTCGCACACTTGAGTGTGCCTGGAAGCGTCTAGCAGAAGAGAGGGTAGGGAGTGGTTTTTGCTGGGGCGGGCACCATGTACCAACTGCAGAGCTACGGACTTGCCAGTGTGTTCTCTGTGGAAGCAACCGCTTTGCTGATGGCCTGGGGGCCCCAGACACGGCCCGTTCGGGGCGCTTAGACTTAGTGTGCACCTGTTCTGTGCCCCAAAGCTCGTGGGGAGGTCGGGGGGGGGGTCCTGGGAGGGGAGACGGGAGCAGCGAGGCCCCGAGAGGGGACGGGCGGGAGAGGAAGGCTGTCTCCGTAGCAGGGCGCCCCTCCCACGGCATCTGGGACCTGCTCCCTGATCGGCCCCAGCTTCCTGCCCACCCGGCTCCCCCAGGACACTTGGCGGTGACGGGCTGCAAGTTCCACCCAGCATTAGGTCCCAGCCCAGCTCGTGGCCCCTGCGCATGGCGGCCTCTGGGCAGTGCCCTGCAAGCTTTGGTGGCCCCAGCATGGCAGTCATTCTGTTTAAATGCTCTTTAAGGAGCTGGTCTGTGGGTCTCAGCCAAATAAAACAGGTACTATCATTGGTTATATTTAAATTAGGCCATGTGATTTGGCATTAATTCTATAGATGTACAGCTTTTTAAAGGCTAGTATGTGTGACAAAGATTCAACTCATGGCATATGTTTAATCTCCATTTAATAAAATTCCCTGTTTTTTGACTCAGGTTTTTTTTTTTTTTTCTCCTAGCTTGTTTATGAATTTTTCTTAAGATTTTTAGAGTCTCCAGATTTCCAACCTAATATAGCGAAGAAATATATTGATCAGAAGTTTGTACTACAGGTAAGGTACAAATTAGCTGAAACTACAAAAGCCCTAATTTGCAGAGACTCTCAAGTCACTAAGTGTCTTTTTCTTCTTGAAGCTTTTAGAGCTCTTTGACAGTGAAGATCCTCGAGAGAGAGATTTTCTTAAAACTACCCTTCACAGAATCTACGGGAAATTCTTAGGCTTAAGAGCTTACATCAGAAAACAGATAAATAATATATTTTATAGGTAAGTCAGTGTGGGTGACGCTTCCCCTTTCGCACGATGATGTTCATTTCCATACTTCTTCCCCCACCCCCTCATGCCTTTGACAAGTGACCAAGGAGCAGTCATGGCTGAGCAGCCAGCGAGCCGTGTCTGGGGGCCCTAGTCCACACCTGCGCGCTGTGCTGGGCTGGGGCCGGCCCTCCCCGCCCTCCCAGCCCCCCGCACACCTCCTTTGTGTCGGTTTTCACTAAAACCAGGGGTTCCCTCTGGGGCGCAGATGGAGCGGTCGATCTGAAGCCGGCTCGCCCTGCCTCCAGTGGTCCCTTCGTGCTTCCCCGCTGCCTGTCAGTGGGGGACAAAGCAAGGAGTGAGTCTCTAGAAGCCTCGGGGGATCTAACGCTAGAGGCTTGGAGGCCCCTGCACACCCTGATGGGGGCAGCATGTGGTGGCCGGTGGCTCTCAGCAGCCACGGCCCCACCCCTAGGCCTGCAGGGCTGCGGGGACCAGCCAGGCTGAGACTCTGGCCATGAGGTTCTGGGGGGCGGGCGCAGCCCCGCAGCTCATCAGAGAATATTCCATAACGGCCTGCGGGAAGGTCCTAAGCGCAGTGTTTACCTTGACTCCTGGCCCCGGCCCTCCCAGGCTCAGCACCCCTCTGACACCCCTTCACCTCTGCTGCCGCCTCCGCTTCACACGCTGATGGGTGCCCTTTGGGTGAGCAGGTGCTAAGTCCTGGGTGGGGCCCTTGGTCCCGCAGGTCAGACCTCCTTCTCGTCCCCCTCCCTGCTCAGCTCAACACCTTCCACGCCACCGCCTAGCAGCCTGGTTTGCCCTCCTGCGACGCTCTCTTCCACCAGCCCTTCTCCGCGACCCCCCAGGCTTCCGGAAGCACATCTCCAGGGGAGCCTCCCCGGCCTGGCAGGCGGGCCCAGGCTCCCGGTCTCCCCGTGAGGGCAGGCCTCATGCTAGCTACTCTAGTGCACGTCCCAGGCCAGCTCAGGCGCAGACCCGGGGGCACCAAATACATGTCAATGGATGAAACAGTTGATGTTCTCATCTGTCCCTGGAAGGCTTACTAAGTCAGCAGTTCATTCTGTGAATTTTGGTTTCTCAGGAAGACTTACCCTAAGGCTCCTGACTGCAAGGCGGCTCAAGGCAGTGAAAGGTCCTAGCGGTGACAGGCACAGGGTGCAGGTCCCTCTGTGAGAGAGCTGAGCTGCGGTGCCAGAGAGAGAAAAGGACCCTGGCCACGGCCTGGAGGCCACCATCGGAGGCCAGGCGGGCCCCTTAAACACCCAGCCTGAGCGCGGGGAAAGGAAGAGCCAGGGGGGCGGCTGGGCGGGAAGCAGGGCCCCACAGCCAAGACCGACGGCCTCTCTGGGGAGCCTGACACCAGCTCCTCTCTGCTGTCGCCAGCCTGGCCCTGGCATACAAGCCAGTGCTCGACATCTCCCTGTCCTGCGCCTCTGCTCCTCAGGGTCTGTCCTCTCCCTCTTCCTCACACTTGCTATGACGTTCCAAGGACAGAGACTTCCCGCGTGAGGGTGGCTTTCCTCTGAATTCCTTCCCGGCCCCCCACCTCCATTTCTAACAGCCGCACACTCAGGACAGTGCCGCCATGCATCCTGTGCCTGGTCCTGGCCTGTGTTCTTGGCGTTAACAAGGCCGTTACAGGGCTGATGTAGTTATCAAAACATAATATCTGCATATATTATTTAAACAGAAGAAGAGGCACAATTTAAATTCCAGTCTTTTACGCCTAAAGTTAAAGCTCCATCTAAAGTAGGTTTTTTGTCCTTAAACAGAAGTTTTGTTCAAATAACAGAATCACAAATCAATACTTGCATTTAAGAAATAGAAGATGTCTCATACCTTAAAGAACCTTGATTTAGAAACTGAAATACATAAATAGGTTATTATTGAAAAGTTACTACACATAGTTTAAGTTCAGTTCTCACTAAAGTCTCCATGCGAGAGTGTAGGGAGGGGGGGTGTTTTGTTTTTCATAATCTGTTTGGTTTTTTTGTTTTTTGTAATCTCTTCTGTAATTATCATTCTTGATACGCACAATCAAAAGTAATCACGTCACGTAGATCCCATGATTGTTTGGGTCTCCGCCCCCAACAGCGCTTCTTCCTCGTTTCATGTGAGAAAACAGTTGAGGAGCCAGACCTTCAGAGAGGTTCTGCAGCTTATAAGGAAAAGACTATTTCAAACATACTGGCCTCAACTTACTGAAAATGTTAATGTAAAGTTTCTGTCTGTAGTTTCTCATCCCAGTCAGCATTTTTAGGATGTGGTTTAGAGAGCCCCATATACCTGTAATGCCTTTTCGGGCAAACAGTGGACCCACATCCACGTGGCTGAAAACCAGTTTATTCTTTCTCCCGATCTTGTGGCCTGCCCTGGGCTCGGCACACAGTCCTGCACGCGGTGTCCGCGAGGCCTGGGATGGCCGCCGTGGCTTCCGGCGGTGCCACCTGCTACGCCCCCAGTGGCTACCAGGAGGGGGACGGGCTGCCTGGCCTTGGGGGCGCAGCCAGGAGTGGGTCAGACCTCCGCCCTGTTACTGGTTCCCTGTCATTGGTCCCAGCACCCCAAGCCCAGGCTCGGGGGCGGAGGGAGTGCAGCGGAGTAGGGCAAGGAAGTGGTTCCACCTCCTCACAGGAGGGCAGGCACCTGCTGCAGGGAGGAGCCCCAGGTTTGGAGACCACCTCTGACGAGCAGTGTTTAGAGGCCTGATTTCTTTTTGCTGAATGAGTGAGCAGCCTCCTCGCCTGTCTGCGTGGATCTCCAAGGCTCCCCTCCCATTTCACACCCAGCTTTTTGTCTCCTGCTGGAAAAGTAAGGAAGAAAACGACTTATTTCCTCTTTTTTTTATACCTACTGGAGGATGGCGCAGAGTAGGGCCGTCTGATGGTGGGGCGCACTTGCTTCCTGCCTCCCCCGATTGGCCTCAGTCAGCCCCTCGCCCACCTTCCTGCCACTTGCCTGCTGCCGGCTCCACGTCACAGACCTTTGTTCAGGTGAAAGCAGTGCTCTTCTCCACTCCACACCCACTTTTTTGAAAATCAGGGCGGCGTCCCTCAGGATGCAGTTCAAGCCCCGCCCCCACGGTGACAGGCGCGCGCGCCTCTCTCTCTCTCTCTCTCTCTCTCTCTCTCTCAGGCCCGTCCTCAGGACTGTCTTCTGTCCTAGCGTCTCTGGCCGTTTGTTTTCCAAACAAGGACGATGAAATTCAAGTCAAATCCTTTATTCATCATAAACTCGTATTTTTGGCTTAAAGCTGTTCTAAACTAAGTTTCCATCTGATTGGCAGGCCAGTTTTCTGACTCCATTCACTTCAGGCTGAATCAGCCTGTGTCGGTTCAGGCTGACTGCACGGGAGCGAGTGGGAGGCAGGGCGGGCGGCTCTGAGCAGGCCCTTGGAGGGAGACGACGCCCTTCTCGTTTGTGTCTCTGTGCCCACTCGCTGCCCCAGGCTGGGTCCCAGCGCCGGACCTCAGCCCTCAGACTGACTCAGTGTGGGAGGCTCTGCCGGGAAGCAACCCAGGGGCCGGCAGTGTCCCGGGGACACTGGCCTGGTGGCCCTTGGGAGGCGTCCGGATTAAGGCACCCACTGAGGCTGAAATGCAGTTAAAAACAAAATTGATGGATGGAGGGGTGGAGAGATGGATGGGCCTGATACAGTGAACAGCAAATTATCCATTGTCAAATCTGAGTGGTTGAAACACAGGTCCTTACTGTAAAATTCTTTCAACTTCTCTTTTTCTTTGAAAACTTTCAAAATGAAAGGGGGAAATTTGTGAGCAGGCTCCGTCCTCTGCCCCCCAGGCTGCGAGGAGCTTACTTGGTGACAAGGAACAGAGCCCCAAGAACAGTTTTCACAGCCCAGCGCGCTTGCTGCTGCCCGGCTGCACGCTTCCCCTCTGCAGAGCGTTGCTGTCTTTATCCGGAGGATTTTAGTATTTCCGGCCACTGTTCCCTGTCTAATTCTAAGCGACGAATTGCTTTTCCAGGTTTATTTATGAAACAGAGCATCACAATGGCATAGCAGAGCTACTGGAAATACTGGGAAGGTAAGTCCCCTCTCTGTTCCTGGCGGGGCTTGGCTTTGGGTGGGATTTGTGCCAGGATGGCCCAGTTCATGGAGTCCAGCCGCCCCGCTCTCCAAAGCCAGGCGGTTCAAACCACTCTCTAGAAGAGCTTGCCCAGATCGAGCGGGCCAGAGAGCGCTCGGATGCGGATACGCTCCGCGACAGCGCTTCCCGTTTGTGTGGTTCCATAGGCAGACTCCATCTCCTTTACCTCAGGAGCATTACTATGGAAACACAAGTTCAATTATTTTTTCAAGAGCAGTGCTAAAAATAGTTACATTAACAAGGTGGATATTTGACACCTAAAAAAAGAATAGATCATTGTGCATTTGGAGAATTCAGTAAATGCTAATATTCCAAGTTGATTTTTATAAATTATTCATATGTATATTTCAAAAATAATTAACACTTCAAAAATTTTACCTAATCCAAGTAAAGCTCTTGCTGGCTGTCATGGTTTCAGGGGACGACTGCAGAGTCCGTCGAGCCTCCTAACCCACGGCTTCCGAGTCCACAGGGCTCCGTGGCCAAAGCAGCGTAAGGGGGCTGTTCCCCAGCCCTCTCTGCGGGCTGAGTGCACATGGGCAGCCAGAGGCGCTGCGGAACCCTGCGGGGGGAAGCTGGGAGGTTTCTTAAGATTTCATTTTTTTATTTTTAGAGAGAGGGTAAGGGAAAGAGGAAGAGGGAGAGAAACATCGGTTGCCTCTCGTAGGTGCCCCGACGGGAGACGGAACCCACAACCCCGGCATGTGCCCTGACCAGGAATCGAACTGGCGACCTTTTGCTTTGCAGGACGATGCCCAACCCAGTGAGCCACACCGGTCAGGGCCAACCTGTGCGATTTTGCTTAATGATTCCCAAAACCATCCTTGCTCTGATAGACATAACTTTTGAAAAATGTCGGTCCTCATGGAGAATTGTATTTTGACTAGTGCCAGCACGCTCAGCGGGCCTCTCCCTCAGCAGGACACAGTGAACAGTTAGGTGGGTGCCCCTTACAGGGTGTAGGACCGTGGGCAAGTTACTTACTGCTCTTGTGTCTCCTCCCTTTTCTGTGAAGTGGGAAGATAATTATGTTCACGGGCTGGGTGGTAGGAGGCTGGGTGAGCTGTTGGCAGTGCCTGGCACCACTGTGACGCGCTCACACGGTCTCCTGCCATGGCTGGGCTGGATTGCTTTGTCTCCCCAGAAGAGGGGGTGCCCTCTGGGAAGAGGGGGTCCTGAGGCTACCCCGCATGCAAATAAGCATATTTTCCTTGGTGGCCACTTAAGACTAACCCTGCCTGCAGCGCCCCGCCCCCGAGATTCCCTAATGGTGGGGAAGCAGTGTGCTGCCTGAACTGCTTCTGTGGCTCTCGGGGACATTTATCTGCGCCGCCTAATTACAAAACCTAATGAATAAACTGCTTGATGGTAGAGACAGAAACTTCAGTTTGCAGGGTCAGGGGAAGACCCCCATTCTGTGCTGAATGAAACAGGTTTCCTGGTGATTTTTAACCAAAGCCATTCTATGCGCTCGTACTCTGTTCTGTCAGCATTAGAATAAGGAGCTGGGAATTTCTCCCGGAAAGTGAATTCCCCGAGGTGGGTGGAGGCCTAGGGAAAGTGCTGCGTGTGACGCACCCAACCGGGGCCCGCCCTGAGCCGCCGGTGCCTGTGGCCTGAGGAGGGGGGTCCGTCCCCAGAGACTCCTGGCCTGGATAACACCCTGCAAACCCAGAAAGTTAAAAGTATCCCGCTCTGGCTGGTGTGGCTCAGTAGACTGAGTGCCAGCCTGCGAATCAAAGTGTCGCCAGTTCGATTCCCAGACACATGCTCGGGTTGCGGGCCAGGTCCCCAGTGGGGGACATGTGAGAGACAACCACGCAGGGGTGTTTCTCTCCCTCTCTCTCCCTCCCTTCCCCTCTCTTTAAAAAAAAAAATAATAAAATCTTTTTAAAATAAAATTATCACAAAGGTAAAATTGGCCATACTTCTGTGAAGATACTAAATGTTCATTTTATTTTCCTGCTGATACCCTCCTTTTTTCTCAAACATATCTTTTGCTTGCTGATTTTCATGCTGAAAACAAAAATGGAAAGAAAAAACAGCAAGATACTCTTTTAAGCCTGGAACTTGTAAATATTCAAACTTGGCACGAATTCTCTTTTCACAGTATAATTAATGGATTTGCCTTACCCCTGAAAGAAGAGCACAAGATTTTCTTATTGAAGGTGTTACTGCCTTTGCACAAAGTGAAGTCCCTGAGCGTCTACCACCCCCAGGTAAGGCCCGCCCACTGCCTTCCCCAAACCTGTGTGCGCAGTCCCCTATCCAGCCTGTGACCAGGGAGTGTTTCCTTTCTCGCGCCACGTTGGTGACTCAGTATTGGGGCTCTGGCGATAAAGGAAAGGATGAGAGGGTGAAGAGAGATTCCTTTCTAAGAAAATCAGAGAAACCTCAGGAATGGAGAATTTCAAAATGAGTTTTCAGCATAGAGAAGGGAGGGACTAGCTCGAAAAGAGTCAGGCGGGCTTTTCAGAGGAAGGTTGTCTGTAGCAGCATTTAAAATCTTGTACCTGAAAGAAAAAGCCTGTGTGTCCGTGGCCAGTGAAAAGGTTTATTTTTATAAACTGGATTTTTACAACTCTGTGAAAATCTAATTACAGTTGTCCTGAAGAGTTGGTCCCTACGCAGTTACTAACCACTGCGTGTGTGCAGACCTGGTTTTTCCTTCCCTCTCATCCCAACTCCAGGTAGACAGACCCTGGCTAGGCGGGCGGCAGCGCTCAAGACAGGGCCCCACCGCCAGCTGCAGCCACGGGCTGGTGCCCTGCAGCTGGTGCGACCCAGAACCCGGGGCTCCCTCCGAAGGCCTCACTTTGGGAGTTTGTGGTGTAGGATAAACTACAGAAAGTACAGTTGACGTGTGAAGAACGCGTGCTTGAGCTGTACAGGCCTGCTCAGCGTAGACTGCCTTCAGTTGGCCTGCACGATTCAGACCCGTGTTGTTCAAGGGTCAGCTGGTGGCTAGGAATCCGCATGTGCAGGGGCCGGCTTGAGTTCCGTGTGGACTTCCAGCTGCACGGGCAGCGGCCACTGTTCAAGCGCCAACTGTGTCTTTTTCAGATGGTTCTAATGATGTTGGCTTCCTGGGAAACATTTTGTTCAGAGATTTTTCTCTGACTGCTATTAACTGGAAAGATCTTTACATTCAGCCTGGTTGGTATATTAATTGTTCTAGATCAGAAATTAATAGTTCAGAGATTTAAGGTAGAACCAGATTTTAATTCAGTTTTTCCAAGCCGTCAGATTACTTGTTTGTTAGTTTCCCAAAAATACAAACCACAAGAAAAGTCCCCCTCAGACCCGGACTGACATACCGGTGTCAGCCCAAAAGACAGTTTCCTCGTTTCTTTAGCTTCCCTGGCACCTTCTGCAGCTGACAAGGGAGAATAACCCGTGGGGCCCGCGCTGGGGCCTGTTGCGGGGAGTCTGCTGCACCGGGCTGGGGGCGCCCCCACCGCACCTGAGTGCGCAGACCTTCCCCGTGGCGGAGGGAGGTCCCTAACGGGGATGCCGGGGTCCCAGCAGCAGCGCTGTTGCCATGGGGAAGCGAAACGCTGACGCTGCCCTCCTTCCTTTGTCAGCTGGCATACTGCGTCGTGCAGTTTCTGGAGAAGGACAGCACCCTCACGGAACCGGTAAGTGCCCCCGCCCCGCCTGCAGGGCGCTCACTGTCCACACCCACTGTCTGCCCAGCACACAGCTGTCCAGCTCTCTCCCCTTCAGTCACGGTCCTGGTGAGCACACTGAGTTCACGCGGGCGTTGCAGGGGTTCGGCGTAGTCCGTTCACTGATGGGGCCCTTGGCTGCAGTGATGGTTTATGCCATGATTGCCACCTTGTCCCTCATTGCACGTGAAACGCAGAGCGCTGGGCAGTTGTCACCACGAAGTCACGTGCAGCGTACCACTTTCCCTTCTCTTGGTTCAGCAACACATTTAACTGCCTTCCGTTGGAGGGACCGCACCGGGGCTCAAACGCTGCGCTGCCTGTTCGGGGCTTTCCTCTCAGGAAGGCGAATGTTAGTTACACTGCTGCCATTCAGTGTTTAGATTTCTAAAGTTTTGGCATTCTATCTTTATTAAAAATAGAAAAGCTTCCTCCGCTGGTGTGGCTCAGTGGATTGAGCGCTGGTCTGCAAACCGAAGGGTCGCCAGTTCAATTCCCAGTCAGGGCACAGGCCTGGGTTGCGGGCCAGGTCCCCAGTTGGGGGCGCACGAGAAGCAACCAATGGATGTATGTCTCACACATCAGTGTTTCTCTCCCTCTCTTCCTCCCTTCTTACCCCCTCTCTAAAAATAAATAAAATCTTTAAAAAGTAAATAAAAATACAAAAGCTTTCGTAGCCTAGATTAACAAAGTTAGGCATGTCAGGTGCTGGGGCAGTTGTTTGAAGACACTTTTTTTTAATAGCTTTATTGAGACATAATTCACATATCACACAATTCACCCATTTAATATGTCCAGTTCACTGGGTTTTGGTATATTATGCTAGTAGCTTTTTCGGTTTTTATAGAAGTAAGAAGAGAGAGACATGAATTTGTTGTTCTACTTACTAATGCATTCATTGGTCGACTCTTTTATTTCCATTGTTGGCCTGTTACCGTTGTCCCAATTTTCCCCGTCGCTCTCCCCAGCCCCGCCTCCCCCGCATAGGTTGACTCTTAGATGTTACCTGACCAGAGACCGAACCCGCCACCTTGGTGTATCGGGACACCACTGTGACCAACTGAGCCACCCCGCCAGAGATTAACTTTTTAAATTGTGGTAACATACACATAACAAACTCTGCCGTTTTAGGTGTCATCCTAGACATTGAATTCATTGACACCAGTGACAGGCAAAGCCATGTAACTGTGGCCACTATTTCCAAAGTTTTGCTATCACCCCTGACAGAAACTCTGCACCCACCAAACACCAAGTCCCTGTGTCCCTCCCCCAGCCCCTGGCACCGTCCTTTGTCATTTCTGGCCCTCAGGTCCCTGGAGCAGGGACCTCACTTGAGTCGAGCCGTGCAGGATTCGCCGTCCTGTGACTGGCTTCTCCCCTCAGCGTGGTGGCGTCGGGGCGCGTGCGTGCTCTAGCAGGTGTCTGAGCAGCACTCCGCTGTTGGCCGGGCCAGGCGTGGCCTGCCATTCGCCTGTCGGCGGACACGCAAGCCAGTCCCACGTTGCGGGGTGTGAATGGTGCTGCCGTGAGCGTGAGCGCACAAAGAACTCTTCAGGCTCCCACTCCTGGTCCTGGTCCTTTGGGCGTGTGTCCGGAAGTGGGACTGCTGGGTCGTACGGCAGTTCTAGGTTTCGCCGTTTGAGGAGCCAGCCAACTGCACTTCCCGCTGTGGCTGCGCCATGGCCCCCGGGGCCCCGGGCTCCCCACTCCTCACTGGTGCTGCTGGTCTTCTGCTTTCCTGGTTCCAGCCGTCCCAGCGGGTGCAAAGTGTGGCTCACTGGGGCTTCAATTTGCATTTCCCTGAGGACGAATGGTGTTGGGCACCTTTTCATGTGCCTGTTGGCCATCTGTGTGTCTTCTGTGGAGACACAGCTTTAACTCCACGGCCCGTTCTTTGAGTGGGTTGTTTTTTACTCTAGAGTAACAAAGTGAAAAGTATCAGGCACAGTTTAAAGGTTTGAGTGCTCTCTTAAAAGTTACTGTCAGAACAGAAAGGGTAGTTCTTGTGATTCTTGAGCCTTTTCTGTCTCCTGGGCAGTCTTTCAGCTCCTTGTGAAAACATGTGAGGAAGCCCCAGTACTGTGTTCCTGCGCAGAACTGACTTCTGGCCTCTGCTTTCTTTCAAGCTCCTAAATTGTGTGTCAACTCCTGCCTTGCCCACGAGTTCAGGAACAGCCCAATCGCATCCCTGAGCTGCCGCCTGCGGAGGCGACAAGGCGGCCACCCTCACGGTGGCGGTCCCTGCACTGCGCCCCTGGGTGTCCTTGCACCTCCACCTCAGCCCTGAGGTTTGGGTGGCTCCCAAGGAAAGGTAGCTCAGGTGGGGAAAGAAGAAAGAGACGACATGCGTAATTTTGATGTTCTGGCACGAAGAATTTTCTGAAAGCCTTAATACCATTCTGCAGCACTGGCACATCCTAAAGCGAATTCTTCCCGTTGAAGGTCTTCTCCAAGTGAAGGGTGAGAGTTTTTACTGGACAAAGTAGTAAGTGAAGAAATTCTAACACTTTTCTGTTTCAAAAATAAAAAGGCAAAGAAAAATACAGAAAGAGAGAAAGACCGTGCAGAGCCCCTCTCCCGACTTTCCGTTGTGCGCGTGTCCCGTAGACCCGGCATCGCCACCGCACTCCTTCGGCCGCGCTGCGGCCCCGCCGGCGCCCACCAGAGCTGAGCCCTGACGCTGCTCTGGCCGTCCTCACACCGACAAGTGATACAGAAGCCCATCAAGTTTGCGCATGTTTGTAATTCCCACCAAGAAAGCTAATGTAACTTCGCAGGAGTGAGAGCTTTTCACTGCGGTTGTCCAAAAGCAGGCGAGAGATGCGCGCTGGCCTCAGCAGGGTCCCTCCCTCCCAAAGGGTAGACAGGAAAGTCAGGTTTGGCTGTTGCGCACAGTCGCAGTATTGCCACCCACAGTCACTCCATTTCTTAATTTCCTGCAGCACAGGTGAGATAATAAATAGTACTCTCGTGACTGTAGAAAGTAGATTTAATTGTCGGCACAGTAAAAACATTCAGACCCTCACCTCAGTAAATTCCTTTCTTTGAAACCCACACATCATTTAGGAAAACGCAGGTGCCGCCCGGGCTTACTTGACCATCGAAAGCCTGTCGATAACGAGACGAAGGTGTAAACGTGGGAAGGCTCACATCCCATCCCTCAGCAGCCACGAACACACTTGGTGCGCTCGTGCCCACGCAAAGGGCCGCCCGAGGTCGGGGTGTGTGCAGGTTCCAGGGTGCATTTTGTTTTTAACCGTCATCCGAGGACGAGCTCATTGATCTTAGCGGGAGGGAAGGGGAAGAAACATCGATGTGAGAGAAACGTCGGGCAGTCACCTTCCACACATACCTGACCCAGGAATCAAACCCACAACCTAGCTATGTGCCCTGGCTGGGAATCGAACCCGCAACCTTTTGGTGCATGGGATGATGTTCCAACCAACTGAGCCACCCAACCAGGCCAGGCTCCAGAATTCTCAAAGTACAACCTCTGTAAAAGGCATTTGTTGTTCCTGTTTGTAATCTGTAGTTAATACTCTATTTGCGAACTCGGAGGCGTGTACAGTGCTCCAGAGCGTCTGGGCACGTTGAACACACACACTGTTGTGGCGAGAACAGCAGCTCATCAGACGGCGACGGAAGGAAAACCGTGTCCTTGTTGCCCGCCTGTCTCTTCAGGCTGCCACATGGCCTGTGGGGACTCTCTCTCTCCCTGGCACGGCAGGTCAGGGTTGGGCTCCCCAGGGCGCAGGGGCCGCTGGCGTGCACCCTGCACTTGCCTGTCCTCTCCAGAAGCAGGTAGCCCACTGAGTTAGCCAAGGAAAGCCCCGTTCTCCTGCTCCCAGAAGCCAGCGGCCATTGTCGCCTGGGATCGGCATTCCCAGGGCAGAGACCCTTTTCTCCGACAGGCTCTCTCACCCTGAAACCGTCCGTTATCGACCTGATCGTGGGTCATTCCAAGTAGTGTGAAAGTCCGGGGCTTGACGCCGGTGCAAGCAGTGACCCCTTTCCCGCGACACTGAGGAGCTCCATCACTCGGTCTGCAGCTCGACTGTTAGCGTCCCCTCCTGTAAAACTCCCTTTGCCATGGGACGAGGAACCGTGTGTCTGTGTGGAGATTGGCATCTGCTGTGCCCTCAGCAGTGCCTCCAACACACACACAGGGCACAGTGGGTTCTTGGTAAATGTCTGTGAGACTATTCTGAGCTCAAAGTGGGCGGAAAATCATTAAATGATGCACGTTTTAAAATAATTCCTTTTAACGATAGTTGTGTTGTTAATTATGTCAGATGTCAAAACTAGGAGTACTTTTTTATTTATAAAAAAGTTTGGAGTTTTATAAAGTGCAATACAAAAAATTGGCCAGAAGCCTGAATGCCAAAAGCATCAAAACAGTTGTTCCCACACAGAACCTCCGGCCAGTCCGCACCAGCCGGCACTGCGGTGGCTCCTGCAGGGCTCTTCACGCCAGTAGCCGGATGAGGCTTCAGAGGCTGAACAGTGCTTCCCAGTTCTAGGTCACCGGCAGCCAGGGGCATGTGCTTCCGGGCGAGCGCCGGCTCTGGGCTGCGGTGCTGTTGCAGACCGCAGAGAGCTGAACTCTAAATGTACTAATAACCCGCAGGGAGTCAGATTGGGTGGTTTGGGTGGGCGGTGTTTACTGTAAGGATTGTAGTAGGAGGTGTGGAAACTATAGCAATGTGGTGAAGAAAGAAAGATTGCCCAGCAGAAATTACCTGCCTGACTTGAACAAGGAACAAAACAGCTAACTTAACACCCACGAGTCAGGAAGCCGCTGCCACGGGACCAAACATGCCCTGTGGCTGCCCAGACGCTTTCAGGTGGGTGCTCGCCGCAGCCCCCGCTGCGGGCCCGCAGTCCCTGGACCGCTGCATGGGTTTCATACTCAAGTCCTTGCAGCAGCCCTGGGAGGCGGGGGCGGTGGTTGTGCCTTGGTCTTTGCTGAGGACTCTGAGGCACCAAGGGGTTGGTGACCAGCCCAAGGCCACGCCTACGGAAGGCAGTGTGGGCTCAGGCCCTGTCCCTCCACAGCCACGTGTGGCACAAGCTAATAACACCAGTTCATTTCCTGTCTTTTTTCGTAGATTTTAGCACCATTGAAAATGCTATACACACACGGTGTCTGTATGTTTGTGTATAAACGTATACGAATGGTCAGTGAGTTGAGCAAGAAGTGGATTCTGCGCATGCGCATGTGTGCATGTGCCGCCAGCAGTTTCAGAAGCGGCTGCTGCAGCGCCAACACGGGCAGAGTTCACGTGTTCTGCACTTGTCCGCTGTTGTGTCTCCCCTCAGCTGTCCTAGCTGCCTTGTCCACTTTTTAGATGAACTGACACTGACCACAGAGCAAGCAGGTCGCATACATTAAAATTGCAGTTGTAAACTGTATAAAATTAGACCCATTTCTCTGATTATAAAAGACCCAGGTGATAGTTGACTGAATCACTGTCCTTCCTACAAGGAAAAATCACCACCTTGTTTTACTACTTTGTGATAGGGCCACAGAGACAGGATTGACCAGTGTCAGGGCACGGTGGCCATCACACGCTGTGTGCCGTTTCTTCCCTAGGTGGTAATGGCACTTCTCAAATACTGGCCAAAGACTCATAGTCCAAAAGAAGTAATGTTCTTAAACGAATTAGAAGAGATCTTAGACGTGATTGAACCATCGGAATTCGTCAAGATCATGGAGCCGCTCTTCCGGCAGTTGGCCAAATGTGTCTCCAGCCCGCACTTCCAGGTATGGAAGTTCCTCCCTCGTTTTTCCCCACCCCCTGCACACACAGCACTACCTGTCCCCTGCCCGCCACCGTTCCCCACGTGGCGCATCGCTTCTAATGGATCAAAGGATTCATGTATCACGTGTCTCCTCCCACTGGACCATAAGCCCATGAAGGCCAGTGTTTCTGCCTTGCCTCACTCGCAGCTGTGCCCTGTGTGGGTGGTCGGCAGGCAGCTGAATGGGACCCATTGGACCGCGTCCTCAGCACATAACCCAGGGTCCGGCATGAATGTCCACAGAGTAAGTGGTGCCACTGTCCCTGGTGCACAGGAAACCCTGGCCCTTCAGGGTGACGGTCTAGAGCACCGATGGTCAGCCTTTCTCATCTTGTGGCACAAACTAAAAATCTGTGGCACACGAAAAAATGCATTCTATTCTTTGCCGATCTGACAAGAAAAAATAGGTATAATTTTGATTGATTTTCAAAATAATAATAATAGTAGTTACAACCTACCTTTTTACTACAAAGTGACTTTTTAAGAAATCAGATGCCTATACTCGTACATAAGGATTTCTGGTACCAAGAATTAACCAATCAGATGCAACATTATTATGTGACATGACCAATAAGATGCAACTCTATTGTGTGACCTATATATTTATGGTTCAAGACAGGGCATTCACACTGGCTGGGCTATTTCCGTGTTGGCTGCTGTCATTTTTTTATTTGACAATCTAAGGGGAAAAAGTCAGTCTCGGAATAAATAGGTATTGCATGCGTTAAAAATTCTTGCCACATGCCAGTTAAGAATCACTGGTCTAGGGTATTTTGAATTTGTAGGAATAACAATTTTCTAACGCAGTATACGTCATCATCCTGCTCACAGGGGTGACAGGAAGGCTGTTTGCTGAATGGCCCAGACTAAAACGCGTTCTCCCTCTCCTCCAGGTGGCGGAGCGAGCGCTGTATTACTGGAACAATGAGTACATCATGAGCCTCATCAGCGACAACGCCGCCAAGATCCTGCCCATCATGTTCCCGTCCTTGTACCGCAACTCAAAGACCCACTGGAACAAGTAAGCAGGGCTGGCCGCATCGCACTTTGTTTTGTTTTAATTTTATGTTTTAATTACAGTTTGCACTCAGTGGTATTTGTAGTAGTTTCAGCTGTAGCTTCTACATCTTTTCACATTTGCTTAATCTGCTCATACATCAGACCAGTTAGGATTGAGATCCAGGTCTGAAACATCCATTAAGAAACGAGGTGATTTCTCTGTGGACTTGTAATGAAGTGGAAGTGCAGCCATTGATTTGCACCCCCCACCCCCGTTCCAAGTCCACGCGTCTTTGCACCCGCCTCCAGCCATGGGAGTGGCAGCACCTTGTGACGTTCCCCCCAGAGGACTCGAGGGTCCCTGCGGAGCTCCCGGGGCCCAGCCATTGCGGCAGCACAGTGGCGACCCCCTCCTCGCCCTCGGGCCCTGCTGTCACACGCCCCGGTGAGCCTTCCTGTGTGACCAGGAACCACCCACCGTGCCCCCTGCCTGAAGAGCAGGTGACCTCACCATGGCCCGGGGGTCTCCAGTGCGCCCCGCCTCCCCGTCTGCCCGCAGAAGAGGGAAGAGGACGGGTGCACTGGTTTTCTCCACAGGGCTCCTATGAGACCGCAGCCTTGGCTCCTGGCGGCAGGCGGGCGGGCACTGGGCTCCGCGCACGCCAATGGGCGTGGGCGGTGCCGGCTCCTCTCACTGCTCTCCTTCCTCGTGCTGGCCAGGAGGTCAGAACTTAACGTGGGTGGAGCCAGGCCGGGGACCTAGTCCCACCCCCTCGGGCACCGGCCAGGCGAGTGGGCTCAAAGCAGCAGCCCGACGTGCAGTCCGAGCCCCCGGCCAGCAGGAGCTCCCAGCCGGCTCCGTCCTCGGGAAGGAGAGGGTGTCGGCGCCCAGCCTCGTGCCCTGTGAAGACCGGCCATGGCAGCCTTAACACACTGGCACGCCTCGCTTTTTCGCACTCACCGATATGTTTTATATACATTGAAGGCAGGACCGCCACCAGCCAAAAGGTGGCAGTTCACGCTGTGGTGGCGGTCTAGCACGAAACCCGCTGTGCCGCCTCAGTGTGCCCGCGCACACAACCCTCTGCCTTGCAGTGGCCTTCCCCTTGGTGTGCAGGCGGATGAAGGCGAAGTGAGCGAGTCCTGATGCCTGACCGCACCTGTGAACGCTCCCCACGGCCTGGGGGCCAGAATTGCCTTTGTCCAGCGTCGTCCTATTAATACATTGGCTCTGAACAACCTCTTCGTAGCGTCCTTTAAGCCATTGAGTTCAGTGGGTGATGGCCAAGGTCCTGCCCACGACTGAGCGTGACTCCTGCCCCATGCGCAGGAAGAAAGGCTCTTTAAGTGTTGGCTAAATATGATTTGGGCTTTATTATAAAGTTAATTAAAAAGTAGTTATGAGTTGAAAGTTTAATTTTTATTTTGGGTTTTGGTTCAATGCTCTCTTGTTGCTCACGATTCCGCGGGTTGACAAGGCTCTGCTGTGCAGTTTCTCTGCTGATATCACTGGGGGTCGCCCGTGTGGCTGCACAGATGGCAGCTGGGACTTGAGTCATCGCTCTGGGGTGCAGGGCGGCCTGCCTGTGTCAGAGCCTGCAGCTGAGTTTGAGCTCCTCTATGGTGATTTTGTTTTCTGCCTACCAATGTTCTACAGGCATTAAAATTCATTTTTCTGTCCTCAGTAAGAGTGAAAGGAAACTGACATATGTAGGAAATAAAACGTTCCCCTGGTCATTCTCTACATAATTAAGTTTGTCTTAGTTACACTTGTTCAGGTTCCAGCGTCTCTGCTGGGTTTCCAAGCACGGCGGCCTTTGGCTCCTGTTGGCCAACGCCAGCCGAGGGCCTGGGCTCGCGGGAAGCAAGGAGGGGCGTACGGCTGCGTGGCCGACTGTAGCACAGGGGACGCATGAATCCGATGGCACAGCTTCTTTATTTTAAAGCTTAGGGAACTTGTGAAATATGGGACTATTGAAATCGCCTGATCAATTTGGAGAAGAAATAGATTGGAGCTGAGGAGGAGGGAGAGGTGGGCAAAAATGATTGGCATTCTGAATTTCAACAGCAGGTTTCCTTTCTAGGACAATACATGGCCTGATATACAACGCCCTGAAGCTCTTCATGGAGATGAACCAGAAGCTGTTCGATGACTGCACTCAGCAGTTTAAGGCAGAGAAGCTGAAGTAAGTCGCTCTTCTCCAAAGCTCCTTTTTTCAAGGGTGGTTTTCTCCCTTAACCCTGAATAAACCTCTCCTTTCGGTTTGTCCTAATGTTATTCTTCCCTTGCAAGCAAAACCAATCCTTTTATACTTGGAAGGCAAATCAAAACTTTGTTACGATAACCTTATTTTCAGAAAACACATATTTAAAGTTAGCTATTTTCTCCATCATGCTACTGGTTCAATCATTTTTGCAAAAATGCATGTGTAGTCAGGAATTTAACTTTCAGGATTTTTGCTTTTCTTGGGGACACTTAAAGGCTGTAATGTGTAGTAATTGTTCATGTCTACAAGACAGGAATTTGAATTATTAATATATTCTATAAGATTTGGATGAGAGAGCAAGAATCTCCATCTTCACACGCCTTCGTTCTAACTTGGGGACATCTGTGAGGCGAGCATCCTTTAGAGTCTGACCTGGGTCCCCTGCAGAACCAGGGCCCCACAATCATACTGTCTAGGGACGGTCTAAGTGACAAGGCACTCCGTCCCTAGTAATTATGTGATTAATTAGTCTCAAAATCCCAACTTCAGAGTCAAGTATAAACCGTTGGCAGCTTTTATTTGCTTGTCACTTGAAGCTGGCAGAGGCAGGTGAACTTGATAGGTCATTCAAATGGCGATCTGCGTGACCAGCAGCCACGCTCACCCTCGCCAGGCTGCGCGAGTGCGCCATGCGCCGGGCCACCTCAGGTTCCGACAGCGGCGCAGCAACCAAAGCCAGTACGGCCTCGCCCCCTGGAGGTTATGTCTGCGTGGTGTAGCGGGGAGAGACAGCCAGGCAGGAGCAGGCGAGATGGCAAGTGTGAGCAGAGGGGCGGGCGGTGGGGGCTCAGGGAGGCCGGGGGCTCAGGGAGGCCGCGCCGTGCCCCTCGCGCTGCCTGCTCCCGTCTCCCCTCGGCTGAGCGCGGGCTCAGCGACGGCGGCTGGCCGCCTCTCACAGGGGATCGCAGCCTTCTGGGAGGGGCCTGAAGGCCCTGTAGCACGTTTTCTGGATTCACCAAAATGAGTTGAGTTCAGCAACTGACGGAAGGCTGCGTGGCTCACGAGGGTGGGGCAGACAGGACCGCCCCCTTTCTGCGTTGGTGGTGCGGCTGTCCGCTCCCTCAGCGTTGGTTAACATCCCCGCCCCCGCCCCCACCCCCGAGCCGCGTGGCGGTTGCCTTCTCGCCGTGTTTCTCGTGTCCCGCCACGCGGTCCCCACTGTGCAGGGCACAGGACTGGGTCGCTGCCCACGCAGCACCTTCCCCTTTAACGGCTGCTTGAATTTGACTCATCTCGCTAATACCAATGACATTTTACTGTTTTTCAGAGAGAAGCTAAAAATGAAAGAACGAGAAGAAGCGTGGGTTAAAATAGAAAATCTAGCCAAAGCAAACCCCCAGGTACTAAAAAAGAGAATAACTTGAAACCGTCTTGGGTGGGACTGAGTGTGTTTATAAGATAGGCCTGTGGCTGCGTCACGGGAGGGCGGGAAATCGCGTTCACTAACGTTGTGTATGAAAATATCTGCAATAAAAATACTTTTCAACTTTTGTACAAGTACTTATTTTGCCCCAAAATGTTTTTACCACAGGACTGACATTTTAAGATAGGAACGGATGAATGTACTGTGGTAAAAAGGAACCAGGATACAGCCTCCATTTGGACCAAGATTGTACTTCGCTTTCCCTCGCATATGTTGTCGATGCTGTAGCTCAAACTCTATTTCCTTCCTTTTAATAGCAAGTTCTAAAAGAAAAGGAATTAGATTTGGAATCGATTAAGTATGAAGTTTGTGTTCTCTTCCCTACAACCGGGTTTCTGTAGGTGGAGCCTTTTGTCATTAAGAAACTGCCAGACCCCTGCCCTGCGAGCAGCCGCACCTCCGCCCCCGTCCGGGCCAGGAGGGCCTGCGCGCGGGCCCCGGCGCCCCGTCTCCCGCTCTCCCCCTCTCCCCGAGCAGCCAGCCACAGGGCCGTGTCCTCCGCAGTGCTGGCTCCTGGCTTGGCTCCGGGCAGGAGTCGTGGTCTCTCGCGTTCCGTCCCAGGGCTGGACGGCTGGGGCACTGTGCCTACAGGCGTCCCCCCAGCGCACAGTGCCTGCCGCGCCCCGGCCAGCGTCTGTGTGAGTCCTTGCCACACCAAGGGTTCCAGGCCCTCCCCAGCTCCCCGAGGAGACGAGGCCTGACTTTATAAGGAGAGCTGCTCAGCTACCCCGAACGCTCGGCGCTCCGTAAGGCGAACAGGGTCCCAAGCAGCCTGCCTCCTTTGGCGCGAGGCACGGGAGCGATGATTGTCCTTGTCGGTGTGCGGGTTTTAAACCTCTGTTGCATTTCATAAAAAGCAATGCATGAATACAAAGGTAAAAGTGTAACTTACCTAGGTAGTAATGTATTGATCTGTATTTCCTTTACTAAAACTACAGTCAGGAGACTTACACCATAGGAAAATTGAGTGACATTCTTAAGTGTTGCCTTGATTCTACCTAAAACAAATAACCAGCATTCTTCTAACAATGCTCACTCCACACAGCTGCACTGAAGTGCTACTTTAAGGTGACTGTGGAACGGTAGAGTCCTTAACTGGGTAGGTGGCAACCGGCAGCCACTTCACAGAACAGGGTTTATGCGGAGAGTGAGGCGGGAACACTGCTGCCTGCTTTAAAGCGCAGCGAAGCCGCAAACCTGGGCGGTGTCGGCGCGGAGGGCGGGCAAGGTCCCAGCGAGGACCTGCAGGCCCCTGACCCCCACCCGCCACACACACCCAAATCACTGCCCTTGAAAGACACGTAGGATGCACACGGATCAGAGTGTCTGGTGTTACTGGTTTTACCCAGAACGTTGAAGTAACCTCACGAGAGGTGGCATAACCTTGGCTGTTTCGGAGGGAGGGCCGGGGATGCGCCCCCGGGAGGACCTGGCTTCACCGCTGAGCTGTGTGCAGCAGTCGTCCCCGAAGCGCGAGCTGCTGCGAGCACACCCGGCACTGCCCTCCGTCGCACCTCCGTTCCTCGCGGCTGTTCTCTTCCCCAGCGTCTCGGTCGCCGGGGCAGCGCGCGGGTGCACCTGTGCCGGGCACTGCCCCGCGGGGACCTCCCTCGCGTGCCCGCGCCATCCACCCCCTCATCTCTGTGTTGAGACCATCTGTGACGTGACCCCCTGCGCCTGTCTGTGCAGACGGAAAATACTTCATGGGCAGGTCTCGCAGGGCTAGAAGTTAGGGCCCCGGTACCTGCTTTAATTCTCTTGAGAGAACGTCTCTTCTGAATTCTAGTCACTGCTTGCCGTTCACAACAAAAAGTAAATAATTTCTTATCCTTGTGACAAAACTCGTTGGGTTTTTGAAGCTTGGTTCTGATCTCAAATCGGCCTTTTTGAGAATTGATTTGATAGCTTCCTTTTTCAAGGTGGAGTCTCAGTCACTCGCTTTCCGTGCCCTGACGTGCGCCAACAAGTCTCCGGCCAGCCCTCCAGGCTTCTCGCAGCCTGAGGGTCCGTGGGGGCCGCCCTGCGGCCGGGCCGGGGCCTCCGCGGGCTCGGCCCGTGTGTTCCCGTGGGGCTGGCAGCTTCCTGGGGGCTTTTTAATGCCACACATGATTTAACTTTTCAAATCATGAAATGTTGATGATCTCTAACATAAACGTGTTTTTCTTAACGCGTTTATGTTAGAGGCCACATCACATTTTGCTCCTTCTCTCTCCCTGGTGTTCATGGGACGCGTGTGAAGTGACGACAGGCACCTGTGGGGACTCTGAGCGTCACTCTGGTGTGACCCCGTGAAGCGGCGAGGCGGAGGATGCCGCGGGGGCTCGGGGCCCAGCTGCCTCCCCGTTGAGAGATGAGCTCACCTGGGGGCCTGTGTCCCTCTACCCAGTGGTGACCTCGAGCCTGGACAGAGGTTTCTGTTCCTAGTAAGGACCCTGTCCTGCTATGTGACGTTAATTTTGCCATGAACGTTTCCTAGCGCCTTTGTTGACACTTTCTCTGCCTGGGCCCGAGAGGACCGAGCAGGCGCTGGTCCCCACGTGGCCCGCTGCCGCGGCCAGGGGGGCGCCCTCCATCCCTGCCCGGGGGGCCGGGAGCCGGCCTGCTGGTGCAGCCGCAGTCCCTGCGCGCCGCAGGCCTGTGGCGGTTATTGTCGCCCCCGTCCACCCAGCAGCTGAGAGCCTCACGAGGGCGAGGCGCTGTGCCATGTCCCCGTCTCCTTGGGTGCCAGCTCTGGGTCCCAAATCATGGCACTTTCCCGGGACAAAGAGGAGAAAAAAGTTATAGCCCCAGCTCCAAGGAGCTGACGGCCGTGAGCGGGGCCAGGCGGGAGCCCGGGGCTCCGCTCAGCCGGTCCAGTTGTGCCACACGCTGAGTGGTGAGGGCGGGGGGCCGCAGTCCCCGCGCCCCCAGCGGCCTCGGCCCAGCAGGAGTCGCAGCCGAGGGGACCCAGCCAGCCTGGGTTCCGGGGAAGGGGGTCCGTCAGAGAGCGAGGGCAGCAGGGAAGCAGTGAGGGCGGCAGAGAAGCCCGTCCCTCAGCACAGGTGGCCTCTGGGCAGCAGAGGGGGGTCCGGATGCGCTCGGCACCTGGGGGTGGGGACAGAAGTATGGGCTTGTCTGTGCTTGTGCTTGTGTCACGAAGAGCCAAGTGGCCTCGTGAGACTTGCGTCTCAGCAAGCCCGTCCCGACAGCGGCGGGAGCGCCGGCACGGGGGCCCGCGCGGAAGAAAGCGCGCGGGGCTCCAGCGAGTGGGTGGCCGCCCAGCGGCACGGGGTTGGGGGTTGGGGCACAGGTGGACGAGGCGGGTCGCGGGCCTGACCGAGGTCCCGTAGGACGCGGAGAGGGGCAGGGGCTGCTGCGACGGGCCGGCAGGGAGACACGAGGAGAAGCCCGGGGGTGGCGGTGCTCAGGCCGCAGGCAGGCCCGCAGGAGGATGGGGACCAGAAAGTGGCTCAGCGGCCGAGAGAGGCACCACCGACAGGCTAGTGACTGCGCCCACCCCAGAGGGGACAGCCGCACGCAGGCTAGCCTGGGACGGGGGCAGGGGTGAGTGAGGCTGGGGGGCAGGGACTCTCCCCGCCGCCACCCCCCCGCAGAGTGTGCAGGGCGTGTGTTGGAAGGTGCCAGCTGTCCCTCAGTGCCCGTCAGTCCCATGGGCCACGGCATCCACTTTACGGATCTGTGGCAGGACGTGGGTGGAGGCCCCTGGCAGAGCACCCGGCCCACAGCAGACTCGTGGGTCTCCCCCTTCCGCTTGCCCTCGCCCTCAGAGAGAAAGCGGGTGCTAAGGCCAGCGGTGATCGTGCTGTTTTGTGTCTCTTGGCTCCATTAACTGTCCCCACAGCCCTCTGGTTATAGCCCCATGTCCCACTCAGGGAAACGGTCTGAAAGGCCTGTCTGCCGCTCCCACTGAGCCGGGACCCCAGGGAGAGCGGGGAGGCAGCAGGGGAGCCACGGGGAGGCCCGCGGGCCCGCAGACAGGAGGTCCTGGACTTGGGGGCGCACCGGCCCCTCCCTGCAGCACCTGCTGGGTGCGGCTCAGTGTGGGCCGTGCAGGTGGGCATGGACAGAGGGCGTGGTCCATGGTGGGGCTGAAGGAGGCTGGGAAAACTGGCCAAGGGCCCAGGAGGAGGTTGCGCGAGGAGCCGGGGGCCATGGGCGGCAGGCGTGTGCGAGGCTGGGAGGTCAGATGCGGTGGTCGGTGGTCTCGGCGTGACTCAGGCCCCGGAGGCCTATCCAGGGCATGCCCCGCTGCTCCCGTGGAGTCAGGACACCGCAGGCTGCCAGGCGGTGTCGCCACCTGCCCCCAGCCCCGGGGGACCGTCGAGTGCAGTGAGCACTGAGGCCAGCTCTGCCCTCCCACCCGCAAGCGGCGAGAGCCACAGGGACTACAGGCGGTCTGAGGCAGGGCCAGGGCGCTGCTGGCGGAGGCAGCAGAGGGCCCCGGGGCGCCGGCGGGAAGCCATGCCCGGCCCAGCGGAGACCCTGGCGTCTGCAGCCAGGTGCTGCCCGCGAGTGACTCCACACTTTGCATTGCAGTACACAGTGTATAGTCAAGAGAGCACCGTGAGCATCCCGGTGGCAATGGAGACAGATGGGCCCTTATTTGAAGATGTGCAGATGCTGAGAAAGACAGTGAACGAAGAGGCTCGCCAGGTAAAAGCGCGCAGAGCTCAGCTGGGAGGTGCCCGCTAGAGACGTGCTTCAGGAATGCGTGTGGCTGTGAGCGGTGACCTGCTGTCGGCAGGTCTCCTGTGTCAGCCAGAGTTAAAAATTAAACTCCAGTAACCGTACAGTTAATGCCCTATTTGTACACCTCAGGGACCGTAGAGCAGTCTTTAAGGATTAAGTCTGTGCCTGTGATCTGTCTCCCTTTACCCTAACAGTAACAACCCCCGCCCTCAATTGTCTTTCTGTGTTAACCTGAGCAAAGAGTCAAAAGCTTCGCAGTAGTGTCTTGTGCTCTCTCTTCCTTCTGCCTCCCTCCACCTTCTGCCCCGGCCACAGTTCCAGCCAAGCTCTGCAGCCGACCCCAGGGTGGGGCCTGGGCGGGCGGTGCTCCGGCGGGGCTGCCGCGCAGTGCCCCTGCCCGTGTGGTCTTACACTTACTGTGCTGGAAATGCCTGTTTAGGTCCCCGCTCGTGCAAAGACAGACCCCCACCACTGAATGGGGACTATACGCAGCATGGGCTTTAAAGGGGGTTGCGCACTGAGGCCGCGCAGCGAGCTCTCCCGCCTGTGTGCGCGGGGCCCCCCGGAGCTGTGCTTTCCAGGGGGGTGCCTCCCTGTATCTCTGCGTGTGCACGGACATAGTCCTGGCCAGGCCGGGGACACGGGCCTCTGACTTTGAACTTGAATCCCCTTCACCCAGGGAGAGAGCTTCTAAAGATGCCGGCACTGGGATCCTGATGGGAAGAGAGAGTGGCCGGAAGGGCGCCGGGTGCCGTCTGCAGGCGGCCCCTGTGCGCTCGGTGTCGGTCAGAGCTTGGCCAGACGGGGGGCTTTTAATCTGTTTGATTGTCCCCCAAGTAAATCGCATTCCGCACCCGGTGGAAGAGGATCAGGTTCCCCAGGGCGCTAGCCAGGCCACCTAGACCACACTGTCCAAGCCGCAGCCGCCCCGGGGGCCGCCGCGTGCTGAGCTCTGCGTTGCCTCACACGGGAGTGCCCAGGCTTCCCGTGAGGACGGGCATGTAGCAGCTCCTCATTCGTAGCTCTTTATTCTCAATTATGTGTTGAAATGACACTATTTTGGACATACTGGGTTAAATAAAACATGAAAATTAATTTCACCTGTTGCCATCGCTTTTTGCTTCGTGGATGTGCCTACTAGGAAACTTGGAAGTATGTATGTGGCTGGCACGATTTCCGATGGGGCAGCTCTGGTCTAGGCGCTTTTTCTCGGAGCCACAGGCAGCGCCTGCGCTGGCCACGGTCACGCCGCCTCTGCCCGCCAGCTCGGGGCCTAGGTTAAAGGGAAAAGCAGGTGAACGCGGGCTGCTTTCAGCTCATCAAACTTTGGGATACCAAAACCTCAGAGGAATGCTCCGTGATCTCCTAGTGAGCATCAGCGATGTATTTTTGACTTAATCCAGTTGAATTCCATAATTTCTTTAGAATTAATAATTGTACCAATGAGATAGATTAATAAAAAAAGCATAAAAATTCATCTACTTTTTTCTGTGGGAGTATTAATTTTCCTACTTTTTTTTAAAGTTGGAAAGGAATTTGAGTCCTCGTTTCGGTTGCCATTTTGAGTCAGCAGCTTGGTGTGCGCTGAGGGAGGACAGCAGCCTGTCACCTGCAGACACACCCAAAGGAAGGCCAGTCATTCCCCCAGGGGCTGCCTGTGACCTTGTAGCCACACGTTCACTTTTCAGTCACTGAGTCGATACAAAGGTGAGACGGAAACTGATGGCTCACACGCCAGTCCTTTCACATTAGATGCCTCAGGGCTGGAGCATTTTTCTGCTCCGTGCATCCTCCGACTTGATAATGAAAGCTAGGAGGAGAGCACACGATGTCCAGAACGTAATGAACATAGTACGTAGTGGTGTGAGTCATGGAAACACCTATGACTCAGCCTCCTCTGCGGGAGGAGGCCGTCCACGTGCCCAGGCACGCAGCCCAGGCTGGCCCTCCCGCCTCGAGGGGGCGGCCCGGGCCCAGGGCCCTCTGACCGCAGCCCCGCGCGGGGCCGGCCTCCTCCCGCGGGGGCGCCTGGGCTGCGACGGGAGACGTTCATCTGCTCATTCGGAGCCAGACAAGGGTGTGTAGACGGGGCGGTTTTTTGGAGAACTCAACACGTTTGTTTTTATGACTTGAAATTGGATTACATGACGCAATTTTTCTTGTACAATTGACATTCTTACAGAAATGGTTGCCCCCGTTCCCTTTAGATTTCTGGGGGGCACATTCCAGGGCCGGAAGGTTCAGTGCCATTAAGGCACTAGTTTTCCCCAAAGGAACAGCCTCAATCAGGATCCCAGCGACAAGCTGACTCTCAAATTCATATGGAAATACAGAGGACCCAGACTAGCCCAAAATGCCAAAAAAATAATAAAGTTAGAAGATTGACACTCCCCAATTTCAAGCTTCTCTGGAGCAGTGGAAGCTCCCCTCAAATCTCAGCCTGAGATAAAGGTATTGATAGTGCAATCTCTTAGGTATAATATTTGATATGATAGAAACATCCTAATTTGAAAATGTTTGCAGTCATATCCCCAAAATTCTCACAAATGCTGTTGTAAAGCAAAGAGAAGATACCGAGATGCGGGGGGAAATGTTTGTGGGATTTGGAGACCAAACTGACGTAAGTTTTAGCTAAAAATTAAGCCTTTAACATTCCCAGTGCCCTCTTAATTTTATTTTCAACTGATTTTATTTTTCGAAAATAATTCCCAATTTTTTAAAAACAACTTGAGTGTATCGCAGGAGGAGGGAGGCGGCCCCAGGCCCAGGGGAAGGCAACCGGTGGGAATTCAGGGGGGATCTCAGCTGGGTGTTCACCTGTCGGGCCACCGTTCGCACTTCTGAGAGGTTGGTACAGCGCTGTGCAGAACGTCCTAACTGTGTGTGGGTGATGTTTACAAGCAGAGCCATTTAAAACGTTTACAATTCTCGTTTTTAACAGTCGGTCGGGAGAAAAGCAGTGGCAGCCATGCAAATCAGGAAGGTGTAGACAGACCGAAGGTGTAGACAGACGGAAGGTGGGAGTGCAGGTACCTGCGACGCAACCTGTAGAGCGCGTTAAGGCTTTTGTACCCAGGGAAAGGAGCGGCGCGCGAATGTCGTGCTCATGAAGTATTTTCCCTGTCACCCAGCTTGTGATCGTGAGGACCAACAAGTCTGGTCCCTTGAGAAATGTCCATCTCGTTCTGCCCTGATTTCGGTGGTGAAGCATGAGCAGTTACGCACGCCCACCCCCGCCCACCCCCCCCCCCCGCCCCCCGCTCCTGTCCTTCACCGCCCACTGCGTGAGTTTGGTCTCTTCCTTAGCTAGACCTGCCGCTGGCTGCAGAACAGGCCGTTTCCGGCTGGCGCCCCGCGGCAGAGACGTCATGGCCACGGCCACCGCCTGTCCTGTCTGCCCCGCCCACCGCCCGCATGTCTGCAGCACGTGCCCCCACCAAGCGCTGCTCCCTTCGGGCGGCCACCTGCATGGTGTCTCGTGTGCTCCTGCTCCCATTTTGCTCCCATTTCCCTGGAGCGACGCGCTGCCTCACACACCGACTGGAAACTTGCAGGGGCCCGGGGCCTGTGTGTGCTCTCAGTTTGCATCTGCCGGTCCAGCTGCCAGGTTCCTGCTGGTGCCTTTTTCTAGCAAAACGTGCCTTCCCCTCTCAGGAGTGCTGTCTCCACAGCCGCTGCCCACTGCAGGTAGAGGACGCCTTGGTTTTGTCTGACTTCACTTTGCTCTGTTTCGTAGCTCACCCTGCAATGGACAGCAGGCTCAGGGTGGCGTTTCCCCCGAGTGTGCTGCGGGCCGAAGGCAAACCCACTTCACAGAGAGCGCGCTCTTCCCGGCCTGTGACCGCGCCAGCCTCGGCCCCACAGGCTGCGGTGGGCGTGGCTCTCCTGAAGCCGCTTAACACGGTTTCCAGGGGAAATCAGAACCCCTGCCTCCACTATGAATGAATATCAGTATCTGAATAAGAGTTGAGAAACAATTCCAAAGTGACGTCACACAGAATTCTTTCTAAACTTTGATGTGACTGCTGTCTGAGTAGGTAGTGTGCAAAGGACCCTAAGAAATCCGAGCTCTGCAAAACGTGAACTTTTCACGTCTGACCGCTGCAGGTCCTTGAATTTTTTGCACTAAAGCAAAGTGCTTTACAGACAGCACCCACGCTAGGTGTAGGCTCGGGCTTCTGACCCAGCTCCCGGGCGCACAGGGGGTTGGGGTGAGTGGGACGGCTGCCGTCGTGCTTCAGAAACGCCCGACTCCTCCCAAACGTAGCGGCCTGTTTCACACACGGAGACGGGCGCTTTGGGAGTGTGAGCCCTGTCCCAGGCCCCGTCTCTGCAGACCCAGTTCTCCAGATCCTCTGGCAAGAGTGGGGTTAGTTTCTTTTTTTCTTTTCCTTTTTTTTTTTTTTTTTTTTTAAGTAAAGCCCAACTGTGCTAAACTTCAGGAAGAGAATGGGATGGAAAAGGCGGTCCTTTATTTCTCACAGTTAATACTGGGAAATTTTATGTAAATAAAATGTTTTTCTAAGTTCTAGAGGGTTTTTCCCCACATGGCCCATTTAATACCTCCTAAAGTATCTTTTTTCAAGTTTTATAGAAGTTAGAGACTTTTCCCCGTTAAATTCAGTTTAAAATGTTTTTAATTCATTTTTATTTACCTACCAAGGAAATTTCAACTTTCTGAAATGTTTCTGGAATGGATAGAGCCATAGAATGGCTTTGGGACCATTTCATCAAATGCGTGGCTTTTAGGGTTTTTGGGATCGGCGGAAGCCGACGAGGGCAGGACAGAGGCGCTGAGCGCTCTGTGCGAAACCACGCATTTTAGGAGACAAAAGCGCAATGTTGTGCGCACTGTCCTTCTCACGAGTCATGGGTTTATTTTTACTAGACGTGACTTTGGGGGTAATCGCCGCAGGAGGAAATGCTCTGCCTCCTTGCCCGTCCCCGGGTGCTCAGAGGGCCCCAGCGAGTGCCACCCACCACCGCGCAGCCACCCTTCGCTGAGGAAGCACGTGTATGTGCGCGCGGTCAGGACCGCGCAGTTCGTAGTCAACGCCACCACCTTTGTAATTGCAGGCACAGAAGGACCTGAAGAAGGAGCGGGCCCCGGCGCGCCGCAAGCCCGAGCTGCCTCAGGACCTCCACACCAAGAGCGCCTTGGAGGCTCACTGCAGAGCCGACGAGCGGCTGTCCCAGGACGGCCGCTAGCCACCCGCCGCCACCGGCGCGGCCCTGGATGCTGTAGAAAACGCGTACTTTCGTGCCATACCGATCAGTTACACTCAGAGTCAGAGCTTTCTTCACCCACCCCGCCCCCCGTCCTGCAGGCAATAACGCACTTTGCCCCAGCTCGAGATAGGAGTTCAAACAATGGTGACTCGGACCCAGGCGGAGCCGGCCGCGGAGGCCGGCCGTGGCGCCAGACGTGGCAGCGGCCCGGAGTCAGAGCGAAGGCAAGCACCCTGGTCGTCACCCTCGCGTCCTCCCCAAATGGGATTGGTGACCCTAGGAAATAGGGGGTCCTGTGAGAATATCCATGTTTCTCAAATCAAAGGAACACTTTTAAAAAGTATTTCATATTTTTAAGATTCTACAGCCTTTGAAATTGTTTCCATGTCATTGTTTACACCAGCAGTTTCTTCGTTCTCTCATTTTTTTTCACTTTCACTGAGCTGGTCTTCGCTGTCATGGCTCTAGCGCGGAGAACGATGGGACGGCCCGCCCTGGGAGCAGGGCCCCGAGGCCGCTTTTGCTTTGGGGAGCAACAGGGCACCGTGTCCACCTCCTCCATGTGTTTCTAAAGCCGCACCTGCCCCTCCGTGTCCATGCCAGGACCCCGGGGGGGCGCTCGCGGGAGAGAGTTCTTTGACAGAGAGCCTTCCCTGTCTCCCTGGGCTAGAATTGGAATTTTTAAAACAATGTGTTCATCTTGGGGTTTGCAGAATTTTTTTTTCCTGTACTTACACATTGTTGCCCTTTAACAAGGCTCTTGAATTAATAAAATTAGAGTCTCTAAGAATTCCACACCTAGTGGAAAGCTAGAATGAGAACATCCTGAGAAGCCGGCTCTTGTCCAAGTGCAAACTGCAGCTGCCTTTGGGCAAAAGGAACGAAAACATCATCGTGCGTGCCGGGTGCTGGCGTGACCCCTGGCGGCTGCAGCGTGGCTCTGAGAGCCTCGAGGAAGTAACAGCGAGGGTGACTTCAGATGGGCCCTTATGTTGGCGCGAGCACACATCACACACACCTCGAAAGGAAAGTACAGTGTCTGACTTTTCATCAAATGCTGCTATCCGTTTCACAGACTTCCTTGCATGTACTGAGCTTTCGTTTTCGATGGAATAGCACGAGGAAATATTCTTTAAACTTAGTGCTTTGTCTGTTCTTTATTTCTCTCAGGGTGGCCAGTATTTTGACTTTTTATCCTGCTTGAAAGCTATTTGAAATGCGTACTGCTATTCTAAACAAGTGATTCTAGTTTCTTTTGTCTGCGGCATAAGATTATATAACTTAATGTTAAATGTCGATGCATAAAAGGTAAAATGTGGCTTCTTTTAGGATCTGTCTTCTAATTGAGGTCTTGGTATCCACTCACACGTCGTAAAGGCAGATGTCGTTGCTGCCCCTGAAACCCACAGACAACGTGCACGTCCTGTGTCTCGGAGGAAGCTCTTTCGGGGGGAGGGACCCCTTGTGTGCGGCGCTCGTGCCGACTCAGAGCGCCCGGCGGAGGTGGCGAGGCCGCCTTGGGGGCAGACACACTTCCTGAGAAACTTGACAAGTATCTGTCCATTGTACCATTATGAAATTTACAATTAAAAAAAAAAGTTTAGATGCCTTCTCCTTTTGAGGGAAAAAGGGTGCTTTTTATTGTATAAAGCAGTGTCTTACGTATTTTGATATACCATTGTTTGAACTTCCGTCTTTGGCTGACAGATGCTCAGATATCCTTGATTTTGATGTTCAATATATTTGTGCGAGAGCTTTCTGGAAGACTCTTCTGACCTAGGATAAAAGCAAAATATCACTGTTTGGGTGATTGTATAAAGCTCAAGGTATAAGAACATCTTTTGTCTAGGTTTTATTTCTGCTCTTTATTGAAGACAAACATTCACCAAAAAGGGGGAAAAAAGGTTTTGAGAGAAACTAATTTTCTTTGACAAGAGTATTATTTAATATTTTGGCCTATTAAAGTTTTCCTAGTTAGTATTCAGATTCCCTGTGCTAATTGTTCAACTTATATATTATTATATAGATACATTGTTTATTCTGTACCAAACTGATTTCAAAAGTACTACATTGAAAATAAACTGGTGACTGTTTTTCTTCATAAAGTTCTGGTTTGGCATCTTCACTCTTTCCAAAACGTATCTGTACGTCAGAAATGTCACTATTCCAAGTGTCTTTTTAGTGTGGCTTTAGTATGGCTTCCTTTTAATATTGTACATACATTGTATCTTTGTTTTATGGTAATAAGTAATAAAATGTAGACTTCATATTTTGTACAAAATGTCCTATGTACAGAATAAAAAATTCATAGAAACAGCAAAAATAGGTAAGTGGCACAATTATTTTTCTTTAGAAAATAATCTGTAACTTTATGCTTTAGTGAAATGTTAAGTACCTACATATTTTTTAACATTTTGTAACTCAAAACTTTTGGTTTTGACATTGTTTATGAAGAGAAACTTCATACACTTGCCATTTAATATGCTCTTTTATCTAATTTTAAAAGACTCTAAAAATGGTGTATTATATGGACTAAATAAAGAACCTGTGAATTTTATCGCTCATCATGAAACTAAATTCAGCCTTGGTGTCGGGCAGGCCGGTTGTGACCATCACCGAGTCACTGCGAGGGCCGGGGCAGCCGCACCGGGGGCGCGGCTGGGAGACGGGGCGGGCGCCCTTGCGCGGCCAGGCAGCCAGGCCCTCCCCGGGGCCCCGCACGCTCACTTCTGAGCCCTCTGAAGGGGGACGCAGGGGTGTCTTCCTAACGACCAGCTCCCATATTTTGAGTAGGCAAATGTGAATCAGAATGGACTTTGTGGAAATGGAATTACTTGAGCCCTAATCATGTTTAAAATGACTCGTGAGAAGATGTTGATGTCTTGTAAGTGGAGCAGAATCGCTGAGAACGTGGCAGTGGGGCCTCCGTGGCCCGCACCCCGCTTGCCGGAGCTCACCGCCCGCACCTGGGCTGTTGCTGGCCTGTCAGCGAGGGGAGGCCTAGGGCAGAGGCGTCCTGTCCTTGCGATCGGCTTCGTCTCTCCGTAGCTGCTCTCGATCAACGTTCCAGCAGGTGGGTTGTGACCTGTGCTCCTTCGTGTCGTTCTCTGTCAAGTGGTGTCTGCGACTCCTCACAGTGAAAGAAGTCGGTCTTGGAGTTGGAATGCATTGAAGAGACCGAGCCCAGGCGGCAGGCAGCCCTGGCCTGTCCCGGCTGTCGGTGGCCTGAGCACCGGGCCGTCCTTGGGGGTGTTTCGGAGAACCACACGGTCCCCACCTCCGCCTGGGAGCAGGGGCACTGCTCAGGGGGCCCTGGAGTCTGCTGCCGCTGCCAGCGTTGCAGCTGCCTCCGGCTGGGTGCTCCTTGCCTCCCATCTTGGAACCACAGGAAGCCGTGGTGTTTAGCAGCCGCCTTCAGCTCGAGAAGCCCTGAGAGACGGCGGAAGAGAGGCGCGTGCTGCGGTCCAAGTCCAGCTGCCTGCCGCGCTTGCTTCAAGGCAGCCGGCGGCCTGTGAGCACACCGAACTGGTGTTGTATCGCCTTCCTGAGAACAGTCTGGCCCTCTCAACAGCAGTGACAGTAACTGGTCTCTCACCACAGCCTGTATGCCACAGGCTGCTGCAGGTGCTCGTGTACCCGTGTGTGCGCTCACAACCCGCCAAAGGATGCGTCCCGCGACCATCACTGACAAACGAGGGAACTGAGGCACGCAGTGGCGAGGTCTCTTGCTGAGGTCCCAGGTACTGAATGGAGCCCGTTTCAACCCAAGTGGTGTAGCCCAGGAGTCCCTGCCCCTCACCATTACGGGACACCAGAGAGACACCCAGAGCAGCATTTTAGGGGAAGGCCGTGAATGCGGGGGGCAGGGGGGCCCAGGATCGCCAGGGAAGCACCCTGGGGCCTGTTGCTGAGGGGTGGCCATCAACATGCAGCGCCTTCTGGTGCGTCCCTTTTAGAACTGGAAGAACCTCTGAAACCATCTAGCACAGCAGCCTGCACCCACTCGTCAGAAGCTCTTTTATGGAAATTAAATTGTGATATTTCACCATTAAAAACCACTCAAACCTGTTACAGCAAATTTCAGCACCTTGGAAACCAGAAACTCATTAGCTTCTGTTTAACTTTGTTACTAATGTGAACCTATAAATGTGTCTGTTTAGTAGGTGTGGTTTACATAAGATTTCGGGGGGGGGGGGGGGCGGGGAGGGGCCACTAGCAAAAAGTTGGAAATCCACTAAGTATAGTGCTTTTTTGGAGAAATAAGTCAGAGTACCCCCCCCCCCAGCTCTGCCATGCCATCTCATGTTTTTCTCTCTACAAAAGCACTAAATTCCATAGAACGGGAGCAAGGTGGTGAAACCCCTGTTTATCTTTTCTGCCCAAAGCTTTTCCTGATCATGCAGTTCTGGGTAGAGGGGCCTAGGTTACTCCTGTGGACCTTTCAGAACATGAGCTGGAGGCCATCCAGGCTTTGCGATGCGTCAGAAACCGACGGCGAGTCAAGTGCAAGAGTTTGCTGGCTCCTCTTTCCCCCGAGCTACCGAGACAGAGCTGGCACATGGCTCTGTGAGTGCAGGCGGGGCGTGCCCCAGAGCCGGACGCCACCGCCCCGCCGGCTCCTAGTGTAGCCTGGTTGGCGAGGACACACTGGTAAGGACAGTAACTCGACACACGTGACGTGATTACTACACTAAGTTTAATTAACATCCACCTCATACAATTACCAAAAAGAAAATCATTCCTGTAATTAAAGCGGCCACTGGCAGACGCTGGGTGGGCTCCGCACGGCTGGGAGGGGGGGAGCAGTGGCCCCACGAGGCCTCGCCCCAGGGCCGGGAGCTGCCAGGGCCCCCCCTGGGACGGCGTTTGGATTTATTTTCTGCAGGAAAGAGCTTTCGTCCGACGCTCCCTCACCCTGGAAAGCCTGAGAGGCGACATTTCATGTCAGCATTAATGCAGGAAATACACGTGGACCGCGCTTTGTTTTTCCCCCTTCAACTCCGAGTCCGAGGGAGGGCAAATGCACCCCTTGTCCCGCAGGCAGCTAGGGCCATGTTGGTAATGGGTGGGGATGTGGGGTGTCTAGGTGACCAGAGTGTCCCTGGATTGTCCAACAGTGTGGGAGCTCAGGCAAAGCCTTGGGAGCACATTAGGCGAAGGGAGCTTCTTCCTCATAACACTGGGCCCACTGCCCGAGCCAAGAAGTCGCCCTGTGACAGGACCAGCACCTGCCTCTCTCACAAGCCTTTTTCCTCCTCCCCGAGACCAGCAGGACCTCACAGAGCAGGTTGCTTCGCCTACAGGGAGGCCCAGACCCCGGGCCGTGGAGGTTCCGCCTATTTCCCAACTCCTGCCCCCTTAATGTGTCGCCGAAGGGAGACCCTAAATCTGCTCCCCCGGAGTGGACACCAGGGCCGTGTCAGATCCTCACACTCACGCACAGGTCCCTACCCCCAGGCTGCTCCGGACGTGGCAAGGCGCTTCCGCCAGAGGCGGGGAGAAGTGCCACCAGCGGCCTCACCAGCCCTCCCGGCACACGGGAAGCCTGCCTGGAAGCCTCCTCTCGCTCAGCCGTTCTTACATAATCCCTGTCGGACAGTACTGTACACTGAACACTGCCCCTGGACCTGTCCTCCCAGCACCACAGACTGGAAAAGCCTTTAGATGAAATTAAACTCTGGGATGAAAGAAACAAACAGCATTACCCAGTTTTTTCTCTCCAGCCTAAGTCACAGGCAGGCTCTTCAAAGCTGGAAGAGGCCAAGTAACACGTGAGAAGCACCTACAAGGCGCCGGGCTGGCCCTTTGCACTCAGCTGCTTATCTAATTGGATTCACACACAATTAGGGTGGTCGTGTTAATTCCCATTTTTCAAGTGTTAACACAGGTTCTGAGGATTAAGTGATTTACTAGCTAGTCAGTAGTAAAGTCAGAATCCAAACAGGCCAGCGAGATCCTAAGATCCTACCTTGCTGTCTGTGAAGCCCTCACTTGTCCCTGTATTTACGTATGAACTAAATGAAACTAAAACCCAGTGCATGTTGGCAGACCCTCAATCAGAGCTCAGGTGCCCAGGACCCCAGGACGTGCCCTTGCTGACGCCCTGTCTGTCTGGTCTTTATCAAGCACCTTGTAGGTGCCCAGCTGTGGCCAGTGCGGAAACAGGAAGGCCTGACATCTCACAGCAGGACTGCGTCTGAGGGTGGCTCTGGCCTAGACAGGCTTCTGGGTCCTGCCCTCCCCTTGAAACCCTGTCCTTCCCAGTGTCACCTTTGTGTCACGCTCTCCCTCCCTGTCTCCTACCTCTTCCTTCCCATTTTGTCTTTCTGTTTTAATCACTTACTAATTTCTCACCTACCTGAGTGTTGCTACATTTTCATCAGAGGTGGGAGGACCTTAAAGATGGGAGTCCAGTTTACAGATGGGGAAACTGAGGCCCACAAAGTCTCCACACATGCTCAGATTTCTAAGTCCAGCCTGTGCTCAGCTGTTCCCTTTTCCCGCCTCCGCCTGCCCAGCTACCTCCCTTGCACCCTGCAGCCAGAGGGATCAAACACGCTCACCTGGTCGCCTGCACCCTGCAGAGCAATCACCCAGTGGTCAAACCGTTGGCCCTGCTGCTTTCTCTACTCTCCTGTGACAGACGGAATCTCACCCATGAGCCTTCCAACCTGCCGTTCCCCATCTCGCCCTGACGTGCTTATTAGCTATTTATCCTTCAGTGCCGGTGTCCGATCCCGAGGCGCTTAGTTTCTCGGTCATCTTCACCTTCACGGACTCCCCTGCTAGGCGTGAGCTCCGGGGAACGGTGCCTGGGCTCGTGTGGTTCGCCGCGCTCTTCAGTGCCTGGCCCGGGTCTCCATTCCTCCACCCGAAGCCCCGAGGCGCAGTCGGTATTTGATGGAAAGATGAATGAATGAGCCCCAGTACCGGGGCGTGAGATCAAAAGCGGTGTGCAGGTAATAATAGCAAGTATTCTTGCGGGAGTACATGAGGGGAGCACAAAAAGCAATTGGGAGAAATGAAGTTGGGACATTCTATCCGGCCTAACACGCACCTCTTTGAACACCCGGGCCAGGCCCGGCGGTGACCAACGGCACACAGA